GCTTGACCGAAACAGGCCGGGGGGGGGTACACGCCTGTGGCCCTAGCTAACGGGGCGGGGGGTGGGGGAGCGGGTGCAGGAATTCTGTGTCATGGCCAGACCCTGTCAAAAATACCTGTTTCTCTTGCTCCCCTTTTTATTTCTCCCCCTCCCTCCTTCTCATAAAAATAATAATTCTCATCCACAGAAATGCATATGCACTTTATCTGGGAGATGCAACTGATTATTGCTCTGTGGGTAGTGACCCAGTTTTGCATTCATCCACAAATTCATTTCAAAATTCCTAGTACAGAGATCTGTGTGTGTTTGGACGTGTGTGTGTGTGTGTGTGTGTGTGTGTGTATTCTTTGAATTTTCTTTGGAGTCAGGTATAATATCTTACTGGTTCTTGCATTAATTGATTAAAGAAAATCTGTGCTGGGTACACTTTAATATTTGTAGAAAAGACCCAATTTTGTCTTTTTTAAAAAAACTGTCTTCTACGGGACCAGCAGTTGGCGTAATGGCTATGTCACTGGACTCCCACGTAGTCGACCGTGGTTCGAGTCCCAGACCCAGTGACTTAAACTCACGCCAGGTGCTTGTGTGTGCTTACCCAAGATCCCAAGAGGAGAATAGAGGAGAAGGGATCGCGGCACAGCCAGCCCCCCGAGGGGTGGTTTCTCGCTTTCTGTCTCTCTGTCTCTCTCTGTCTTTCTGGTGAGCACATGCACCCTATGGTGGAAACCTCTCCAAAGAAAAAACAAAAAAGAAAAAAAAAAACTGTCTTCTAGGGACCAGCAGATGGCATAATGGTTACATTGCTGGACTCTCACATAGTTAACTGTGGTTCAAGTCCCTGGATTGGTAGCTTAAAACTCACACTGGGCATGTGTGCATGTGTGCCCAAAATCCTGAGAGGAGAATAGAGGAGAGGGGATTGTGGTGTGGCCATTCCCCCTGGGTGGGGATTTCTTGGTTTCTGTTTCTCTGTCTCTGGTGAGTACATATGCCTTAAAGGGAAAAAAAAAAATCTCTAAACAAACCAAAAAAAAAGATTTTCTAACAGCATATATTTCCTAACAAAGAAAGGACAATTATTTTCAAAATCTGGTATTCTGAAAAAAAAAAAAAAAAGAAAAAAAAATCAGATTTTGCCAAATGATGATGTTCTCCTACAGTAACCAAAATAGACAACCAATGAGGTGAGGACAAAGCTGTCTACTTCTGCCCAGTATCTGTTCAAGCAGACAGGTACAATAAACAGAGAGAGAAGCAGCAAAATTGTCTTAGAATATAAATATAAACCCAATTCTGAGAGCCATTCTCATTTCCAAAAGCTTCGAAACAAGAACCTCTCCATTTATTTTATTTAATGTTATGAGTAAGACTACTAAAAGGTTAATGATATAAGAGGCATGCACATTAAGTAGCAAAATAAACCACCATTTTTACAAAAAAAAAACCAAATCTGGTATTCTGCAAGCAGAATCCACATCTTCCCAAACATCCATACGGTAGTTACAGGAACAAATGAGATACTATGTACTGATACCGCTGTACTTCAAAAACCAGAGGGCAGAGACCTGACTAGCCACTCAGTGGTTTTGTTTGTTGTTTTTAGAGATTTTTGCTGTAGGGTGCATGTGCTTGCTGGAGACACAGAGAGAGATAGAAAGTGAGAAATCATCCACCAGTGGGGATGACCACGCTGCAATTCCTTCTCTTCCATTCTCTCCGGACCTTGGGCATGAGGGCACACGTGCTTGGGGTGCTTTCTCAAGCCACCAGGTCCAGGACTTGAACTGTGGTTAGGCGTGTGGGAGTCCAGTGCCTTAACCACTACTCAACACAGTGAAATGGGGAATGAAGAAGAACAAAGCAGACGATTCAGAAAACAATGAGAGTGAAAATGCTATCCACTAAAATCTATGGTTGCCATGAAAATACGCAAAAGTAAAATTTTAAAATTTCAAACTATCAAAAAATGTAAGCATTCCATTTCACGCATGAAAAAGAACAGCCATAAAAACAAACCTAAGGTAAGAGGGACAATGAAATAATAATGATAGGAGCTATAAATAAATTAGAAAACATATCCGGGAACTTACAAAATGTGTCAGGGACTGCTTATTAGAAACAGCTCATTAAAACGGGCAAAAAATATCTCCACGAAATAGAAGGTTTTACAATGTAAGAACACAAGATGAAAGTTAAAATAAGACCTGAGCTATAACAGCGGATAGTTTACTGAACTTCATCTGTGCTGAGTGCCTGTTTTGTGTCAAACAATATTTTAGATTTTTGAAAGTAATCCTAAGAAAACCGATCATAAAATATGTCCAGGACAGTTTTGTTTTAAAAATAAATAAAAGGAACCCAAAGAGAAAAAAATCTTGACTAAAACTAGGATTGACCTTAAAATAATATGAAAAGAATTTCTGGGCCAGCGGATGGCATGGTGGTGACGGTGCTGGACTTCCACGTGGCTGACTGAGGTTTGAATCCCAGGCTCGCCTTGAAAAGCCAGGTGCCCAAAACCCTGAGAGGGAACTGGAGAAGAACCCCTCAGGGAATGAGTTCTCACTTTCCCCCTGTCTCTCTCCTGTAAGCACTCTATAGCAAAAACCTACAAAACAAATAAAAACTAATTCCCTCCCTTAATTTAAAGTTATGGATACTATCTCTAGGTTCGAATAGAAAAACTACTCTATGTTGGAGGAGCCGAATCACACACTAAACATTCGAAACCCTCTCAGGATTTATCCCCAAGCTATCCTTCGATCTTCACTGCTGCTGGAATCAGGGCTAGGACACTCAGCCAGTGACAAGGATCCACCAGTGTGATCAAAGAATAATGCACCAATTAGGGTTTATCACCGGGAGCTGAGGATTGTTCAATAGGAGAGGATCTAAAAATAGAATCCACCCATCAATAGCTTATGAAAAATCACATGGCCATTTAAAAATACCGAAAAGGCATTCGAAAAAATTCACTACCACCTCCTAAGACAAAATTGAACAAAGAGAATGCAAAAATATTTCTCTGGCGTGCTGAAGAGGGTTCTAAAATAGGAGTCAGTATTAATATTGTAATTAGTGCAGAGACGCTCGAGAGCCGCACTTGAAAATCAGGAGCGGAGCACGGAGGGCTGGCTGGTGCCACCGCAGTGCTCTAGGGTTTGGGGAAAATGCAACCGGCCGTGACAGTGAAAAAGCGGGAGGCGGACATACCCACGCGGGCTAACACGCGGTTATCGGGCGTCATCTCAGCGGAAGAAACGGTGTCACCCAGACCAGCGCATGCTAGAGAAGCGCTGGACATAGTAACCGACAAGCTGCTGTCTATGAACACAGGAGATGCTGCTCACGGCGCAATGACCCACTGGGGCCACTGCTACTCACCCCCACCAAGCCCACTCCCGGTGCCACCTGTGCCGGTTTCCAAGAGCAACAGCCCTAAAACTGGGCCAGGCTGTACCAGAGACAACCAGGCCCTCCTCTGGCTGGAGAGCCACGTCGCATTCCTGAGTGGGAAGACCACGGACCGAACAGCAATGACGAATGTCACCGACCCCCAACCACACTGCCAGGGCTGCCCATTCCCAGGCGAGAGCGTCGCGTATCAAGGCATGGTTCTCGTTCTGCAGTCGCCCACGGGCACGTGCTGCACCTCGCCCAGCCTGTTAGAAGGGAGCATGGGCAGGTTCCTCGCTGGGTGACTGGGAAGCACCCACACTCCTTTTCATTTTTATTTTTTTATAAATTTCTTTCTTCTTCCATAAGCAAGGGAGACAGAACAGGAGGGAGAGACAGACAGACAGACAGAAGGCAAGGCAGACAGAAAGGGAGAAAGAGAGAGAGACAGAGACACAGCCACCCCAAACAGGGTCTTCACATCGCCATCTGCCCGCCGGAGCAGGCCCTGGCATGCGGTGCACACCGGGGTGCTCAGGGAACGCTCTGGGTGCGAATCCAGACCATCCCACGCAGTCAGCCTCCCAAGCCTCAGCACTGCTCACCACTGCCCACCCTCCTCCCTGCTCCCCTTCATCCTCCGCCCACCTTGCTCCTTCAGGATATCAAACTATTCCACAAAGGACAACGATAGGGGCTGGGGGTGAAAATACACTTGGAAACAGCAGGACTCGGGCCAGCGGTGGCTTGGGGGTGAGCGTGGCTAGATCCCACATGGCTGACTGCCTGAGTCCTGAACCTGGCAGCTTAAAAACAACCCGGGTGCTCTCCCAGAAGACCTTGCCAATTCCTGAGCCAATCTCAGGCACTGCCCCGGTCCAGGACCCCCAGGGGCTGGTGAGGCTGCTGCTCTTGCCAGGCACCCCCCCCCCCCCCCCCGCACAGGACCAGACCCATGCCCAGGCAGCACCGCTCACGAGCTGCTCACCTCGCTTCAGTTATCTCAGCTCCCTCAGGAGCCCCATGCAGAACCCACCCCAAGCCAGGACCACCCAGCACCTGCCACCTTGGCCAGGAGGCCCGGAAGAAGCTGGAACCAGGCCAGTACTCAGGACTGGGCCCCAGGGGCCACCTGTGCCGCTGACCTTCTTGGTGTAGCCCATGGCCTTCAGCACAGAGTGATTCAATGTTTCCAGGGAGGCCAGGACGTCCTCATAGTCCCCCATGTGGTCCACAAAGTAATCTGGGGACAAAGCAAAGGTTGGCTTTTGGCCTCACCCATCCTGTGTCCCTCAGGGTCTCTCCCTTCCCCAGACCCTCCCATCTCAGACCCTGAATAGCCAGGCACCTACCACACAGCTCCTTGGTATCCACATGGCTGCAGGGAGAGGGAAGGAGAGAGAGAGAGAGGAAGGAAGAGGGAGTCAGCAGGCTGTCTCTGCCCCCCACTGGGCACCAGCCTATCCAGTCTGTAAAGTGCCTCCACGTCCCTCTCATCTTACACACCGAAGCCATAGGCTCCACTCTGTAGATGAAAAGGGGCAGGTAAATGACCCCCTCTTGAATGACTATGCAGAGACTGTGGGTCTGACACCCTCCCACTGCGTTAGGAGCTAGCTGGACCCCACTTACAGGTAGCTAGGGTAAGGACCCTAAAAGGAAGTCTCTGTGTTTATCCTCTATGATCTGGTTAGGTATCTGTACACCCCTTCCACACGTCCCTAAAGAATGTATGACTCCTTGCTAATAAGGCAGGAGATTGGAATGCTGAGCACACGGACAGGGTAAAAACCCAACATGGAGTCACAATGGCTGTTTCCACAGCGAAAAGCTGGCTGCACTGAGATTCTTACAATTCTAGCCTAGGGCAACGGTTTCTATTTAATTATATTCTAACAAGAAGCACACAATGCTATGGTCTGCTGGCCAGGAAGAATAGACTACCATGTAACCATTTTCCAAAGCCTACTTCCTTATCAAAGAGCTAGCCCATTGCTGATTGCTAGATAAAAACTCCTTGCCTCCAGCTCCTCTTTGGCAACCCATTCCTCCCTGTTTGGGAGCTTTGTTCTTCCTTCCCTCTCTGAATAAACTTCACTTTGCTATCCCTTCCCTGTGTCTGTGTCTCTAATTCTTCCTGAGCATCAGACGAGAACCTGGTTATCCTATCTATGCTCCTGAATCTGGCACCAAGGTTGGGCCTGGTCACCCAACGTCCCATGTCACCATCCCACTCTATTTTCTCTCTCCAAGTCTACTGACCATGTCGTGAATCAACAGGACCAAGGAACAGGGCTGAGTAGAGGCCAGGAAAGGGAGGCAGGGAGCAGGGTGGAGCCCATGACTCGGACAGACTGTCGCCAGCTCTCTTGTATGACTGCTGCCTGGCCATCTGGGCATCTCTGCGGCTGGGTCCTCGGCTCTTGAGAGCCCTGACACAGCCCTCCTTCTTCTTGCCCTAGCCCTGGGTCCCACATCCCCACTCTGGCAAGATGGAGACTGGGCATAAGAATGCCACCCACAGTGGTGAAGGTGCACATGTCCCTTGGGGATAGAGGCATGGAGGGTGTCTGGGCCCCTTGTTTGTTTGGTTTCTGATAATTCCCCCCTTTTCTGGCCTCATCCCTCATCCAGGAGGAGGGGGCTGGCCTAGAACAGTGTGCTCAGTAGAACCTAGGTTCAATAAGATGTATCTGGGCAAAAGGCTTCTAAGGCCAAATAAATCCAGGCCCAGGGGCTTTGCATGTTTTGCCTTGGTGTGCCCTCCAATGACACGGCAGATACAGTGCTGACCAGTCCTGCAGAAAAGAAACCTGTATTCTGTTTCTACCCTTTCTGATTCGAGGAAACTGTTCTGAGCAGAAAGCCTATTTAGCATCCCAAGAAGCTAATGTCTGTACCTCACACTAGGGTGACTGTGGGGAGAAAAAATCATAAAAGCCTTCAGTGTTCTGACCTTCTATAGTGGTGAGTCCGCCCACACCTCCAACCACCCATGCACACTCAAACCAGCACTGCTCTCTCCCTCAACCCTGCTGGCCCCGATGCCACCCGCTGACACAAAAGGCACCTAATGAGAATGAATAAATCAATGTGCACCTGTCTCTGCCCCTGCAAAGCTCCCCAGGAGGCAGCAGGAACAGTTCAGAAACCTCCATCTGGCTCCAGAGACAGTCCTGCACACTCGAGCCTGCAGTTTGACGCCATTTCTCTAAAGTGGTCTTAACCTAGGCAAGGATGTCCACCCCATCTCTCCTACCCCTAGCCAGGGTCTCCCAGGACTCTCTCGGCCCCAGGCCACCCATGAGAACTGGCTTGGTGGCAGCTCCTTATCCAGATCATTTCTCGCCAGTCGCAGGGGACCCCAACCTATCAAATCTGCCCTAGCAGCCCCCCAGAAAATCAGGGGAATCACTAGGAGGCTGGAGGAGTGTGCCTTGGTGGGGCTCTGATCCCTCTTGAAGGTAAGGTGGAGGAGAGAGCTCAGCCCTCACCCTGTCTGGGGGATTCTAAGGAAGGGGCAAGATCAGAGTGAGAATGAGGGAGGAGTCAGGGATTAGTGTGAGTAGAACACGGTTTTGCACTTAATTTAGAGATGCATTGGAGCCAGAGTTTTTAGGTGACTCTGAGATGCAGGTGAGCATTCTGACTGGGTTGGATAAAAGGTTTAATTAGGTACAGAGATAGAAGTAGAGTTAAGATTAGAACTCGGTTCCAGTATGGTTTCAAATGGGGGTCAGTGTCAAGGGGAGGCCAACGTCACAGTTAATGTTGGGACTGCACAAGACATTAGGATTGCAGCTGGGGTCAGAACTGGGAGGAGTTAGCAGAAGGATAAAGTCATCCAAGTTCTCATTTTCATTATCCTGTGTAAACTCTACAAAACTGAGGGTCTCTCCTTACTGAGCCACATGTGCTTAGAAAAGGCAAACTTGCGATAGTAGCCAATGCAATATCAAACTGGTCACTACCCAAAACATCCTGTGTAGTAAAAGCCCAGTAGACTTGACAAGTTTGGGGGTTTTGGGGTTTCTTGCCCCCAGTGAAGGACTGGAAAATAGACACTTGCTATTGAATGAGAAGGAAAACACTTTCTTCATGGATCCCTGCACCCCCTACTCTGGCAATCAGGGCTTAGGCTTACTTCGTATTGTCAGAGTCAATTGTGTGAAAGAGATCCTCGAGTTCTTTTTCATTGAGGACGCCATCTGCAAAGAAGAGCTGGAACTCCTCCAAGGACAGCTTCCCATCATCTGCAAGGAAGAAAGAAGGCAGAGCAGCTGCTGTCTACAGAGATAAGACTGGCAAGGCCAATATATGCCCAGCCCCCAAATCCAGGCAATTCCCAACCACCAGATCAACTCTAGCTCAGATAATCCCTGCCTAATTCCCAAGTTAACCAGTAAACTCCAGTTCTCAGAGAATCACTGACTCATCCAGCTAATTCCCGAACCTACAGACCAGTGCCTATTTGCAGATAATCCCCAAGCCAACAAATAATACAATAGTGAGTTCACTGGAGCTGTGTACCAGACATTTTATATATGTTCAGCAAATACAGCATCTGCACCCTGCCAGGCAATCTCCTTTCACTCAATTCTGCACAACCACCTGGAGACAGGTACAATTTAAGGTGGCTCAATTTTAGTAATGTAAACAACCTAATGTAACACCTCCAGTGAGAGGCAGATCCGAAGCTGGGCAGTCAGATAATCCCCACCCCCCCACCCCCCACCCCCGTTTAAATCACTGCCAACCCCAGCACCCAAGTCCTGACTCTCAGAGAGGAAATAACCTCTCTCTACTCTGCCCCACCCATATGGCAAACTTCAGGCTCCCCAGGGAGGCAGCTTTGCACAGTATGACATGAGACACTGGCGTAGAGTTCTTCCTGTGACCTCCTCCCCAAGACACTAATGCAGCCATCAAGCTGAAAAAGCATAAGGGAAGGAGCACTGCCCAGCCCTTCATCTGGGTTGGAGGTTTACAGTTCTGCGGCTGGAAGAAGACGAGGCTCTGTAAGAGGGACCTCCACAGCTGGTAGTGTCACCTGCCCCACTGCTGCCAGCTTTGTCTCACCCTCTCCTCCCTCCTCTTGCAGTTGCACTGGATACTACAGGCCTCACCAGGAGGGTCTGATGGGCCTCAAGTATCAGGAGCTAGGGAGAGAGAGGGTATAGATGCTGTCAGCTGGGCGGCTGGGGCCACATCCGGTGTGCCCTCAACATCTTGGCTCAAGTATCAGTGCCACAGAGGGAGAAAATTTTCTGGTTTTCAAAGTCAAGGCCACTCCCCGCCCCCCCAAGACTCATAGCCAACCATGGGAAGCCCACAAAAGCAGCCGTGAGATGCAGGAACTCCCAGTCTGGCTCTAGAGCTCCCACCCACCGGCACCCTGGGGAACTCCTGGGCTGCAGGGCTCCACCGCAGCACATCACCCCCCCCCACCTCCCATTGCCTGAGCCTGCTGCCGTCATCTGGAACAGGCGTGTGCGTGTGCATGCACGCACGTGTAGTGGGGGAACTTCCTATCCTGGTGGGATCACAGGGCAGACCCAAGGAAAGGTGAGTCCACCCCAGCCTGGGTGTGTAACGGTTGCAGAAAGCAGTCGGCAGCCTCCACCAGGTGTCCCACTACCAGCTGGGAATGGGGAGGGGGGGGGTGAGGCCTGCTGACAGGCCTTCATGCCCTCCGGCTGGGATTAGAGTTTATTGATTTCTCAGAATGAGCTGGGCCTGGAGCTCTGTCCTGACAGCCCTGAGCCAGGTGCTGTTATCCCGCTGAACAAAGGGGAAACTGAGGCTCCAAACTTAGTGACAGCCTCGAGGACACAGAGGGGGCTGGTGGCTGGTCACAGTATGCACCCAGGCAGGCAGGTTCCAGGGCCTGACCCTGTGCTCTCCCTGCAAGGGGTGGATCAGGAGCCCTGCCTCATCCCCTGGGGACCAGGGCCTGGGGGGCTGTCACCAGAACTGGCATCTCACACCCACACTGACCCTGGGGACAACCTCCCATGGCCGCATGGCAGTGACTGGGAAGATGAAGGCTGGAGGAGGAGCTGGCTCAGCTCTGTGGGGGCTGCACAGCTGTGCTTGGGGGGCGGAGATGTGGCCTCTGACAGGGGAGCAGGCAGCGAGAGGACGACACCCCACATGAGCCTGCAGGGACCCAGGCGCCAGCACTCACACTGCCTCAGCTCCTGCAGCTTCCCGGCTACCTGCACATGTACTTGAGAGTGCACGGCGGCCACGGAGCACACACACCTGGGGGCCGGTACCGACACGTACGGCCAGCCGGACAGACACCAGATTCGCCCAGGAGCAGCCACGGCCTCCGTCTTCACAGTCTGAATCCAGAAACCGCCTGTCTATAGACAGTGACTGAAGACCTACCGTGTGTCTGGGATGGGGCACGCCTGAACCCCGGCCCTCAAAGCCTCTCCCTGGAAGAGCCTGACTCGCTGTATGTGGAAGGTTCTAGAGAGCCCCTCAGCAGGGTGCAGGTCTCGTGGCTCCAACTTCGCGAGCACCCTAACTGCCCCACGTTGCTCTCCTTCCTTACACCAGGCAGAGTTGCTGCTGACGGCTGGGGGGGAGGGGCAGTCATCACCCCTGGAATGGCAGTCAGGGAGGGAGACCTGTGTACCCCCTCTTGCCCCCCAGCAGTCATGGGGGGACAGGTCTACACTAACTCTCAGGGACCGGGGCCAGCGCTGCCATCTTGAACTCCAGTAGGAGGGAGCTGGGACTGGGCGGGACCGCTCCTCTGCTTCCTGTGCCATCCAGCACTGCGCGTGCTCCGGAGGGACAGGAAGCACACCTTACTGCTTGCAAGGACGACTCTCCCCAAGGCCCAGGGAAGCAGGCAGGGCAAGCATCCTCACCTCACTTCACAGGTGGGACGCGGCCCAGAGGGCGCATGTGCCCTGGTCAGAGCGCGGAGAGGTGCCCTGAGCCCGCACCAACACTGCTAGCGCGTGCTGCCTTTAGCTCTCCATCCGCTCCACCTGGGGTCCCGTGGGCCTTCCTGCCTGGCCCCATTCTCGAGCTCCCCTTCCTCCTGTGGGGAAGGCTGGATTGTGCGGCAAAGGCTGGGGTCTTTGGGAGAGCAAAGCTGCGTGACCCTGGGGCCGGTCACTTAACCTCTCTGGGCCACTACGTACTCATAACACAGGGGCAGTGGCACGAGGAGGAAGAGCACCCAGGCCTGGAAGGGGCTGGAGTGAGGCTGGGGGCTCCCTTCGAAGGGTGACTCTGGCCCGGCACAGCTACGGAAAGGCGAGGCTTACTCCTGGCCCCACAGGCACCACCCGACACGATCCTCCGGGCATCCCGACTAGGCAGGGGCAATTCACACTCCCATCGTGAGCCACACCAGGCTCTGGCCCTGTGACTCACAGCCCTGTGCTCCTAATCACAGGCTGGGGTTGTCCACCCCCACCCCCCAAGTGTCTGGACAGAGACCTGGGTCCTCTCTCAGTGGACAGCCAGGGATGGGGGCACTCACCATTTTTGTCCGCACGGCGGAAAATCTGCAGAGGAGAGAGGCCAAGTCAGGCCAGGCCAGGAGCAGGGGCCCTGCAGCTGCCTGTTGGTCCCGACCTCCCCTAAGAGAAGCCTCGGGCCTGGGTAGCCTGAGTGCCCTCCACCCCCCAGGCCCCAGAGCCCTCCCTTCCCAGCCCCTTTCAAGGAAGTGGACGCCCCACCCCCTTCTGTGCTGCCAGCCTGCCCACGGCCACGCTGACAGACGCACACCACACACTCGCCCACACCCACACCCACACCCACACACACACACACACACACCCTGCGGCGGGAGCCAGGCCACCGCCTTCGGCGCAGTCGGTGCTCAGACACACACCACGCCCAGGGTTAGTGTCCCAGGAGGAGTCCCCACGCCCCCAGGTTCAGCCTGGCCGGGGAGCCTGGTGACCAGCCAGCCATGGGCAGGACTGCATGAGCACCGGGTGGACAGGGAGAATGGAGCACTGAGCACTGGGCATGCAGGGACGCCGGAGCTTCCTGGGGACCTGGGGACTCCTCAGCTTCCGAGGGCCATGCATACCTGGGCAGCAGCCCGCATCCCTGAGGCCGGTACAGTGCCACGTGCCAGGACTAAGCCCGGGTGCCCTGAGGCAGCGGTCCTTCCCCTCTCAGTACCTGCTGTAGCTCCCGCCCCCCAGGCCGGGCCATCCCGGGGCAGCTGAGGACCTGCTGGGGCAAACCCTGCAGTGTTTCGAGTGTCCTGGGCACGGCAGTGCTGGCACTGGGCGCTAAGACAGGCTGCCCAGACGTGTGGGCTCCAAGCCTTGTGGCATTGTTAGAAATGCAGAACCCCAGGCCCACATGGCCCATGGACTCAGTCCCTGCAGACCCCAGGGGACTGATTCACTGGCAATTTTAAGTCCGGGTGGGAGGTGGTTATGGGTGGCCCCACTCTAGGCTAACCAGCCCATTT